CGACTCAGGGCATCTACACCACCCAGCGACTCAGGGCATCTACACCACCCAGCGACTCAGGGCATCTACACCACCCAGCGACTCATGACATCTACACCACCCAGCGATTCATGGCATCTACACCAGCCAGCGACTCAGGGCATCTACACCACCCAGCGACTCATGGCATCTACACCACCCAGCGACTCAGGGCATCTACACCACCCAGCGACTCAGGGCATCAACACCACCCAGCGACTCAGGGCATCTACACCAGCCAGCGACTCAGGGCATCTACACCACCCAGCGACTCAGGGCATCTACACCACCCAGCGACTCAGGGCATCTACACCACCCAGCGACTCAGGGCATCTACACCACCCAGCGACTCATGACATCTACACCACCCAGCGACTCATGGCATCTACACCAGCCAGCGACTCAGGGCATCTACACCACCCAGCGACTCATGGCATCTACACCACCCAGCGACTCAGGGCATCTACACCACCCAGCGACTCAGGGCATCAACACCACCCAGCGACTCAGGGCATCTACACCACCCAGCGACTCAGGGCATCTACACCACCCAGCGACGCAGGGCATCTACACCACCCAGCGACTCAGGGCATCTACACCACCCAGCGACTCAGGGCATCTACACCACCCAGCGACTCATGACATCTACACCACCCAGCGACTCATGGCATCTACACCACCCAGCGACTCAGGGCATCTACACCACCCAGCGACTCAGGGCATCTACACCACCCAGCGACTCAGGGCATCTACACCACCCAGCGACTCAGGGCATCTACACCACCCAGCGACTCAGGGCATCTACACCACCCAGCGACTCAGGGCATCTACACCACCCAGCGACTCAGGGCATCTACACCACCCAGCGACTCATGACATCTACACCACCCAGCGACTCATGGCATCTACACCACCCAGCGACTCAGGGCATCTACACCACCCAGCGACTCATGGCATCTACACCACCCAGCGACTCATGGCATCTACACCACCCAGCGACTCAGGGCATCAACACCACCCAGCGACTCAGGGCATCTACACCAGCCAGCGACTCAGGGCATCTACACCACCCAGCGACTCAGGGCATCTACACCACCCAGCGACTCAGGGCATCTACACCACCCAGCGACTCAGGGCATCTACACCACCCAGCGACTCTCATGATGGCATCTACACCAGCCAGCGACTCATGGCATCTACACCACCCAGCGACTCAGGGCATCTACACCACCCAGCGACTCAGGGCATCTACACCACCCAGCGACTCATACACCACCCAGCGGCATCTACACCAGCCAGCGACTCATGGCATCTACACCACCCAGCGACTCAGGGCATCTACACCACCCAACGACTCAGGGCATCTACACCACCCAGCGACTCATGGCATCTACACCAGCCAGCGACTCATGGCATCTACACCACCCAGCGACTCATGGCATCTACACCACCCAGCGACTCAGGGCATCTACACCACCCAGCGACTCATGGCATCTACACCACCCAGCGACTCATGGCATCTACACCACCCAGCGACTCATGGCATCTACACCACCCAGCGACTCAGGGCATCTACACCACCCAGCGACTCATGGCATCTACACCAGCCAGCGACTCATGGCATCTACACCACCCAGCGACTCAGGGCATCTACACCACCCAGCGACTCAGGGCATCTACACCACCCAGCGACTCATGGCATCTACACCAGCCAGCGACTCATGGCATCTACACCACCCAGCGACTCACTGGCATCTACACCACCCAGCGACTCATGGCATCTACACCACCCAGCGACTCATGGCATCTACACCACCCAGCGACTCATGGCATCTACACCACCCAGCGACTCATGGCATCTACACCACCCAGCGACTCATGGCATCTACACCACCCAGCGACTCATGGCATCTACACCACCCAGCGACTCATGGCATCTACACCGGCCAGCGACTCAGGGCATCTACACCACCCAGCGACTCATGGCATCTACACCACCCAGCGACTCAGGGCATCTACACCACCCAGCGACTCAGGGCATCTACACCACCCAGCGACTCAGGGCATCTACACCAGCCAGCGACTCAGGGCATCTACACCACCCAGCGACTCAGGGCATCTACACCACCCAGCGACTCAGGGCATCTACACCACCCAGCGACTCAGGGCATCTACACCACCCAGCGACTCATGACATCTACACCACCCAGCGACTCATGGCATCTACACCAGCCAGCGACTCAGGGCATCTACACCACCCAGCGACTCATGGTATCTACACCACCCAGCGACTCAGGGCATCTACACCACCCAGCGACTCAGGGCATCAACACCACCCAGCGACTCAGGGCATCTACACCACCCAGCGACTCAGGGCATCTACACCACCCAGCGACTCAGGGCATCTACACCACCCAGCGACTCAGGGCATCTACACCACCCAGCGACTCAGGGCATCTACACCACCCAGCGACTCATGACATCTACACCACCCAGCGATTCATGGCATCTACACCAGCCAGCGACTCAGGGCATCTACACCACCCAGCGACTCATGGCATCTACACCACCCAGCGACTCAGGGCATCTACACCACCCAGCGACTCAGGGCATCAACACCACCCAGCGACTCAGGGCATCTACACCAGCCAGCGACTCAGGGCATCTACACCACCCAGCGACTCAGGGCATCTACACCACCCAGCGACTCAGGGCATCTACACCACCCAGCGACTCAGGGCATCTACACCACCCAGCGACTCATGGCATCTACACCACCCAGCGACTCATGGCATCTACACCAGCCAGCGACTCAGGGCATCTACACCACCCAGCGACTCATGGTATCTACACCACCCAGCGACTCAGGGCATCTACACCACCCAGCGACTCAGGGCATCTACACCACCCAGCGACTCAGGGCATCTACACCACCCAGCGACTCAGGGCATCTACACCACCCAGCGACTCAGGGCATCTACACCACCCAGCGACTCAGGGCATCTACACCACCCAGCGACTCAGGGCATCTACACCACCCAGCGACTCATGACATCTACACCACCCAGCGATTCATGGTATCTACACCACCCAGCGACTCAGGGCATCTACACCACCCAGCGACTCAGGGCATCAACACCACCCAGCGACTCAGGGCATCTACACCACCCAGCGACTCAGGGCATCTACACCACCCAGCGACTCAGGGCATCTACACCACCCAGCGACTCAGGGCATCTACACCACCCAGCGACTCAGGGCATCTACACCACCCAGCGACTCATGACATCTACACCACCCAGCGATTCATGGCATCTACACCAGCCAGCGACTCAGGGCATCTACACCACCCAGCGACTCATGGCATCTACACCACCCAACGACTCATGGCATCTACACCACCCAGCGACTCAGGGCATCTACACCACCCAGCGACTCAGGGCATCTACACCACCCAGCGACTCAGGGCATCAACACCACCCAGCGACTCAGGGCATCTACACCAGCCAGCGACCCAGGGCATCTACACCACCCAGCGACTCAGGGCATCTACACCACCCAGCGACTCAGGGCATCTACACCACCCAGCGACTCAGGGCATCTACACCACCCAGCGACTCATGACATCTACACCAGCCAGCGACTCATGGCATCTACACCACCCAGCGACTCAGGGCATCTACACCACCCAGCGACTCAGGGCATCTACACCACCCAGCGACTCATGGCATCTACACCAGCCAGCGACTCATGGCATCTACACCACCCAGCGACTCAGGGCATCTACACCACCCAGCGACTCATGGCATCTACACCACCCAGCGACTCATGGCATCTACACCACCCAGCGACTCATGGCATCTACACCACCCAGCGACTCATGGCATCTACACCAGCCAGCGACTCATGGCATCTACACCACCCAGCGACTCATGGCATCTACACCACCCAGCGACTCATGACATCTACACCACCCAGCGACTCATGGCATCTACACCACACATCGACTCATGGCATCTACACCAGCCAGCGACTCATGGCATCTACACCACCCAGCGACTCATGACATTTACACCACCCAGCGACTCATGACATTTACACCTGCCTGTGACTCCTGGCATCTACACCACCCAGCGACTCATGACATCTACACCTGCCTGTGACTCCTGGCATCTACACCTGCCTGTGACTCCTGGCATCTACACCTGCCTGTGACTCCTGGCATCTACACCTGCTTGTGACTCCTGGCATCTACACCTGCCTGTGACTCCTGGCATCTACACCTGCCTGTGACTCCTAGCATCTACACCTGCCTGTGACTCCTGGCATCTACACCTGCCTGTGACCCCTGGCATCTACACCTGCCTGTGACTCCTGGCATCTACACCTGCTTGTGACTCCTGGCATCTACACCACCCAGCGACTCATGACATCTACACCTGCCTGTGACTCCTGGCATCTACACCTGCCTGTGACTCCTGGCATCTACACCTGCCTGTGACTCCTGGCATCTACACCTGTCTGTGACTCCTGGCATCTACACCTGCCTGTGACTCCTGGCATCTACACCTGTCTGTGACTCCTGGCATCTACACCTGCCTGTGACTCCTGGCATCTACACCTGTCTGTGACTCCTGGCACCTACACTTGCCTGTGACTCCTGGCGGATAATGTAGAGATTTGTGGGAAAATCCTAATCCTCGAATTCGAAGGTTCAGTTAAATGTAGTCCCTTTGCTTCTCCTCCAATAAAGTTATAGAAGACCAATGCTTTGTGATTAATTATAGTAATGATCTGAAGGATTTGAACTTTCTTGTTAGTCTACACTTTATGTTAGTACTTGAAGCCAATTACCATAAATTCAATTCTGCAAATAAAAATTTAATAGAAAATCCCAGTCGCACAATAGTCAACTTAAACTAGGTTGATTTAGCTGAGATATTACAGTAGCGTAGTCAAACTGCTACTTTGGATCGATGGATTAGTTGTTGTGTTCCACTTCCTATATCATCAAAACATCCAGGTGGGCCTAGGTTAATGTCCACGGTCGTTGACACCCTCGCCAGCAACCTGCGAAGACGGTCTCATAAAACAATTTGATTTATCAAATATAATATAGCGTGCAGTGAGATACGGACTCGTATATCTAATGCTGATTCAGTCCAATTAATTACCCACCAATCACACATTATTTATAAATTATATAAGACTGAATTAAGATGAAAATCATTATAAAAATTTCAAAGTGATTACATTAATTTATGCAATATATAATATCACTGATAATTCCGTTCAATTATTTGAACATTAATACAATATTGTTGTTTAGTTTATTCTTGGTTCCTAACTGAATATCTGAATGTTAAAGAGATTAATGGTTAACATCGTATTAAATATGGATCCGAAATGTAAGAGAATAAAAATACCACCAACCGCCCTTAGTGACAAAAATTACAGAACACCAGTGAACAATAACAATACACCAAGCACAGTAACACGTTCAGCCTAACCAACAATGCAATACAAAATATAACTATATTACCTGTACATAACCATGTGTAAAATAAGTGACTATACCATCCCCAAGCAACATCTGTAAACCCCCCGAGCATTGTACTGTACCCGACCCGGCAGGGTCCTGTCCACAGACTATCCCTCCTGCCGCCTAGTCCAGAGGCAAAGTATATAATCCGACAGTAACTCCGCCAATATATTATGAACGCTCCAACTGAAGGTGTGGAAACTAAATATGAACATCCCCAAGGGGTCAATAATGACATTAGCCCAACACAAAGAAGTAGTCGTGTCCCTCACCCGGGTCACGAGAGCAGCTCTATGATTAAAAAAATAGAAAACATGTAGCGGAGTCTCGGGACCATCACAATAACTACATTTATCACTACCCCTGACACCCAACACGTGGAGTGGAGCATTAGTAGGGAGGGATTCGTGCACGTACACATAATCCCATACATGACAAATAGGCCACAAAACGTCAATCATGTGAATAACATGAAGAGGCCACAAAGGCAACATCCCTGTATGCAGGCATTTTCAGCAAATTGACTGGCGTCAAATAACAGGCTTTTCCGGCCTCAAGGATGAGTATTTTTTACCACCAAGAAAGATCACAGACGGCCCAAGCTGTAATATTGGTCACCTGTGTAGGTGACAGGTGTTGGAAGCCTGTGTGGTGGTGTTGGAAGTGGTGAAGGAGTTAGGCGCTCCACTTAAGCCCCATGGTTCCCAAGGCCTGGCGTACGGCTGTGTCGTGGCGTTAAAAGCCTGTCGTCGACTTTCAACACCACCACACAGTCGTATGCCAGGCCTTTAGAACCTGGAATGAGGCTTCAGTGGAACGTCTAACTCTCTCACCACTTTCAAAAACAGTGTCTTAAACCACTGAGTGCTTATCCTTGATAGGAACTTTATGATGTTTGTAATACTGGTCACCTGTCACTAAGTCACCTGTGGAGCTCAACGAGGCTCGGCCCTTCTTCCTTCGTGACAGTAAATAGAGTTCTGTAGAACTGGTTCAGCTAGATGGGACCTATGTAGATAAAACCAAGAGAGAACACATGTCTCATGATAACAATGGAGTAGTGATAATAATAATTGTCATCACTCCCCACCTCCAGTAGGATCCAACTTTCAGTGAAACATATTTACCTATTCCGCCTAATATTAAAACTAAATGAAGATTGGTTTTAAATATTTATATAATGTTGATTTAATAACAATACTACTAAAGTAGAAATTTGATGGGTACAGTTAATGTGACGATGCACAACATCAAGGCTAGCTAGACTAGATGTATGCTAGGGGGACCGCACTCTCTGTGAACCTTAAATAACCAATAATAATATTATTATAATGGTGGATATTTTCCACAACTTTCCGGGGAAAGACTAATGGCTCGAAGTCCATGTTATGGGACAACCATGAGTCAGTAACTAACTTTATTCCCCTCTGGTTTCATAGTAAAATGTAATTTTTGTTACTTCTGGTGTCCGGTGTCCTTTGTGGACAAATGTTCCGTGTTGTAGTTTGTGGGTCCTTATAATGTGAAGTAGTTGGTGAAACAGTAATATGTCCAGGATCTATTCAACACACAGATTCCAGCCGTACTAGTTATTGCAGTGTCTTCAGGTAAGTAACTCCCCTGGACTGAAATTTCACTATTCTTAGAATGCCCTGGCTATCAGGTTGGATGGAGACGACTTTATCTAACGGCCATCAGACCTTGGTCTAACATTCTCCACAAAGACAATATTGCCTGGCTGAACATTAACTTTATTATAGGGGAATTCACCCCTTTATAGGGTGAATTCATCTTATTCTGTACCACGCTCTGCTAGATCAAATTTTTGGTGGTGTTTTATCTTCCTCAAACATTGTTAGAGGACACCTGTCATTCTCTCGTAAAAAAACTCTGTACCCCGTTGATCTAGGTGGTATAAATTTCTATATGCACCGTTGTTGTTCCAGTGCAGTATAGACTGTTGGATGTAAACAAATCTATCTCAGACAAACTTCTCCTGCTACCAGGCTAGCTCCATTATTGTAAATTATCAAGTTGAGACAGGATTGATGTGCTTCAACTCTGAGGAATGCTAGAATAAATGAAGAGCAGTGATACGATTCCAAGGGTAATTTTTGAAACAAATTTCTTTTCGAAAAATTTCATGTACAAGTTTGAAAGCAATGGTGATAAACTCTGTAAATAATACTCATTATTAAAAGTACATTTTATTAAAAGTAAACTTACATTCTTAGAAGTAAATTTACGAAAAGTAATTTGTTTAAAAAATTAACCCTGGAATTATTCCATGGTTTAGATATCTTTATGATATTTTGTGTATATGGCCTACAAACGTATATTCTGACAAATTTGTCTTTATCTGGTCGCCTAAATAAAATTTACTATAGAGACTGAAATTAACAAATGTTTGCCATTCTTAGATATACTTATTCATAGAGAAGATTTTTCACTATAGTTTAGTGTTTACAGAGAGTGTACGAATAATTTATCTGATGTTCATTATTTCTCAGGGCATAGATACAATATGAAACAATAAATTTTGTTCTCTATGTATCTAAGAGCTCTTCAGGTTATTAGTCCAGAATTCTTGGATGAAGAGTTTAAGAATAATGATTCTATTGGTCTCAAGCATTGTTATCCACTGATTTTTTTTTTAAGTTTCCCTTAGCAAAGTACTTCTTTCATATTATAATAATATATAAAGTGCGAAAACTCGACCAAAATATGTGTTATGTTTAAAATATTTTTCTGAGTTCGAAAATATTGTCAAGGCCTTGAAACTTTTTGATATACATGTATTGTTTAATTACGAAAACACTGCTGGAAAATTATATGTTAGAAACAGTCCTCGAAGTGATAATTATGTCGTTTAAAAAATACCTTATGAAAATTGTAATAGGTTCTATGTAGGACAAACATTTAAAGAATTAAAATTAGGAATTTCACAACATAAATACTCTGTAGGACATGGCCAATTAGCTAATGCTTTGTTTGTTCATTTGTCAGAGAGTTCTAACCAAATTGATTGGGAGATGGCATTTTCCATAACGAATTGTAAAAGCATTTTCAAGAGGAGCATTTTTGAATCTGCTTTAATACAGACTACACAATCATTTGAATTTGTAATTTGAATATCAGCAGTGGTTTGTAAAATTTAGATCCATTTTTGATTGATCAGTTAAATGGGGATTTGAGTAGGATCATTGATACACTAATACCTTATTAACTCCTATTATCTCGTTAAAGCATTATACTTCACCTCACATCACCTCTTTCCTGCCTATATATCCACACCTACTAACTGTAAATCCATTCTTCTGAAGATGTATTATTAAATACGAGAGTACTTAAGGAAATTCGTGTCTTAATCCTTTCTTTGTTGTCTTACACTGTCGCATTGTTCATCACGTGTTAATTTCTTCATTATTTATGCTATATATATATATATATAGTTCCAGGGAAACAAGTGGGTAAAGCTTACCAGTAGCTCTGGGAAGGGAAAACTCTCAGCCTGCTAACAGGAGTCAGCTGTCGTTTGTTCCTGTACCCACCTGTGTAAAACAAATTATCAATAAAATACATTCACTCAGATATTCATACATACACACACATAAAAACATGCATTAAAAACACACATAAAAAAAATTTCTAAATTTTTTTGACTAATAATAACCTTTAAATGTTAATAAATCGACTATATAATAACAGTTATAATATAACCTGTTTTTTGGGCTGCTATTACAGGGATGCCATGTGTCAACCCGTTCTCGCACTTGCTTACAGTTATTATTGGCTTATTTAATAAGTGCATATGTGACACACTAATTGATTGTGAATATTTTAGTTTACCTTGAAAAGCTTCATAGAAAACACCGACCTCACCTAACCTTCTTAGTATGTTAAGATAAGCATCTTATTGCTTCTTAATTACAATTATTACTTAACCTATACCGTTAATAGGTTAAGTAATAATTGTAAATGAGAAGCAATAAGATGCTTATCTTAACATACTAAGAAGGTTAGGTGAGGTCGGTGTTTTCTATGAAGCTTTTCAAGGTAAACTAAAATATTCTCAATAAATTAGTGTGTCACATATGCACTTATTAAATAAGCCAATATTAACTGTAAGCAAGTGCGAGAACGGGTTGACACGTGGCATCCCTGTAATAGCAGCCCAAAAAACAGGTTATATTGAACGGGTTGCATTTGTATCAGGCACATCAAAGTGGAAGCAGATGTTGTGGCTGATGCCTTATCTCTGGCTCCCCACTCAGTATGCCTTGTTTTATGGAATGAGGTGGGGGGGGGGGGCTGTCTGTCATGTTGCCTTCTAGTGGGAAGGAAGTGTTATGTAGACAACAGCCTTTTTAGACTAACTAGATATATAGAGTCTAGGATCTTTGTAGACTCTAGAGCCTTTGTTGATTCTATAATCATAGTAGACTTTAGAGTCTTTCTAGACTCTAACATTTTTAAACATTTAAGACAGACCAAAGCAATATTTACTTAGAGCGAGGTAATGATAGGGCCCATAATTTTTGCGTTTATTGGAAGTTTATCCATTTAATGGGGCAGTCTAGCCTATTAGATATGAAGCAAGACATCCACTAGCATTGTCGTCTAAGTAAATTTTCCATGCCTACAGTAGAGTCAGAGAAACTAGGATGCAAGTGTGCAGCTAAATTTGTTGGAGTTAATACGAACCTGCCGATCAACCTGTGGGACTGAGAGACACTCCCTTGGCCCCGGAGAACTCACTGACACTTTATTTCGCGAGTGAAGGGCATACTTCAAAGCACTCCCAAGCCGAGAAGGATTTTATGTTATACATAGCGCCAGACCGATCAACGGAGTCTAGGATGTCAAGATTGCTCAAGGGGCGACCTCTTTCGATCTCCGGAAGGCAGTTTTGTGCAATTTCTGAGAGATGGCAATACGACAAGACTAAGATTCCCGACTACTGCATCTAGTTGCGACTCAGAAGAAGTTGAAGGTTGTGGGCCACATTCTACGCGTCCAGGAGAAGTGACGATGTAGGTGAATGTAGTAATGTAATTTTCCACAGCCTGGTTTATTGATTTTCCACAACGCCATGTGATCGGTAACATCAATGTAAGAGAGACAGTCCAAACCACTAATGAGCTGTTGCTCCAGTGACGTTAGTGCCAGTGTTTTTTGGCAAATTGCTGAAGTGCAATGCAACCAAGTGATGATCTGTTGCTCAAGTGGTTAATAGTGGTTAACTCAAGTGGTGGACAGTGGTTAACTAGGTCAGTGCGAACTAGTGACGTTCCTGTCTCTAAAGTGACATTTCCTTTGACAGTGATAGCCTGTGAAGTAGGGCCACTTTTCTCTGGTAAATAGAGAACTTGGAATGCTAGCACAAGGATTGCGTGGTGTCCAATTTTCCCCTACAGTCTTCAGTAGGTTAATGTATAATTCCGGGGATGATACATTTGTGTGGCAACCTTGTCAAGGAGAACCATAAATTTTCTGCAGTAGTAATGCTAGCTGGTTACCCCAGGAGTATAGTGCATATTTTAATTTTCGATCTATAACAGGGGGTGACATAAGGTTTGCTGCCATCTATTACACTTTGACAGAAGGTTTGGTTGTCAAGTGGGAGTGGCGCAACACAGCAACAGAGGCATGTAGGATGGTTGTTAGAGGAACATTCATTTGAGCAGTAGTTACTTAACTCCACCCCCTTCCCCCATTGAGTTGGTATGGTTCTATGGAACAAGATGAGGTTAGTTGGTACTATATTCCTTATGACTGTATTTCTCTTATATTCAGGCGCCTGACAGCTGGATGGACAGCGCTTCGGAAATCGCAGTCCTTAAGTTCCGGGTTCGATCCCGGTGGAGGCAGAAATAAAAATGGGCAGAGTTTCTTTCACCCTGATGATGCTGTTCACCTAGCAGTAAGTAGGTACCTGGGAGTTAGCTACTACGGGATGTTTCCTAGGGGTGTGTAACAAAAAGGAGGCCTGGTCGAAGACCGGGCCGCGGGGACGCTAAGCCCCGAAATCATCTCAAGATAACCTCAAGAAGGCATTTGTGGATGCATTAAGAGGAAGTGTTATAATTTTATAATAATTTATATGAATATATTAATGTTCCTTAGCCAGATGCTCCTGTGTGATTAAGAGGCCAGTGATTTGTGGAAATTATTTACTTTCTCTTGACTGTCCATTTGTTTCTTTCAAACAATGGGCTGAGTTTAGACTTAGATAATCACTGTGAGAATACATTGTAGGTGAGGCCAATGACTATGGTACAATGTTTGAGTTACACCTGCAACAGTGGGCGTGTCCTACGGTGGAGAGTGTTGCGCCGCACCACTAGCCATCTACTGGGGCAGACCCACAGAGCCGCTGCCCATCTTCTGGGGCAGACCCACAGAGCCGCTGCCCATCTTCTGGGGCAGACCCACAGAGCCGCTGCCCATCTTCTGGGGCAGACCCACAGAGCCGCTGCCCATCTTCTGGGGCAGACCCACAGAGCCGCTGCCCATCTTCTGGGGCAGACCCACAGAGCCGCTGCCCATCTTCTGGGGCAGACCCACAGAGCCGCTGCCCATCTTCTGGGGCAGACCCACAGAGCCGCTGCCCATCTATTTCCAACCTGTGGGGTATTCTGACTCCTGGGATTTTATCATTTATTTTAATTATTAATTAATTAATTAATTTAATGAGCTCCAATTTATAATATAAATTTATTTATTATTTTATTTCTTACGATTGCTTAGCGGACTGTATGTTTTATTGAGTGGATTGAATATAATTAAATTCTCCCATAAGTCATATTCTTACACAAGTTCGGGGGAGTTGGGTCGATAATTATTGCCTATCAATCAAGAATTATCGATTGACAGGAAAATTTATACTAAAGGTTACTTGATTAATCTACTTGGGTTAGTTTGAGTACACAATCGCCTTATCTGATTAGATGGCTTCAATATGGGTACAAGTGTGTCACCTAGGCATCGCCAGGTATGGACGATAAGTCCTCACGTGGTCACGGATTGATAAAGATTAAGCCACCCAAAAGGTGGCACGGGCATGAATAGCCCGTAACGTGGTCACAAGTAGATATCATCAATTTCCTCAGGGTGCTACAGAAGTTCTGCCAGAAGAATTCAATATTGCTACAGCATATATGCTCCTAATCACAGATGTGGCATAATAATATTATTAGTTAAGTGATTGTGAGAGGCTCACCCTGTTTTTTTTTTTTTTTTTCCTTTCTCATAACTGGTTGTTACTATGATATTTATGAGCTCAACAATTAAATAAAACATGTTTTATACAACTGGAACAAAGTAATTAAGGTAGCGGCTGCAGAAGAACGTAGAGATGGGTCGGATGACGAGTATAAACGTGGCTGCCTAGAGCGCTTCACTCAGAAGAGAATTCTGGTTACATAATGGCCTCTTCCTCCTTCCCAGGCTAGTGACGTCACTGGGAACCAGCTCAATTTTCGGGCCGTTTATCAACAAAGGTAGGGAGGCGTTGATTGAAATTATTGTTTCATGTGATCAAATCACAGAAAACAGTTTTATATTGTTTATAATGCTGGACTGGGAGTTTTAGGGGTTGTTTATATTTCATTAATATATTTCCTGGTGATGTGGCAATAATATCTCATATTTAAGTGACAATTCCAGTGCAATCTCGTTTTCTTTGAACGAGTTATTAAATTAATTTGTGTTAGTATTGGTTATTAGAGTAGTGGAAGAACAGCAGCACAATTATCTGCACATTGAAACTAAGACTATTATAGGAGGTCGGTTTTTTCCCGACACAACCAGTCACTGCATGGAAGTTGTTTAAGAGTCATCAGCGGTACCTAGACTTCCCATTGTATCTATGATTATTCGTTTAAAGTGCAGACTGAATAAACACATTATAATAGTCACTAGGGTGGAGACTCCAGTAACCCATTTGAAGTTCGACTCTGAGACTCAGTTGTGCTGAGATCAAAAGGTCCATAGGAGGTGGAACAGCAGGCCAACAGCTGGACGACATATTGATTTCCATTCTACTTCACCGTGCTCATTGGACTATCGATCAGTTTGAAATCCTCCATGTTGGTATTAGGGTCTCTTTGGCAGTGATTTCAAAGTGGGGGAAGGGACGTTACACCTACATTTCACTGATGTAATTGTCTAGGAACGAAATGGTAACATTTACATTGCAGCCTTTAGCACAGTCTAGACCAAACAAAAACTTCCTCCTTATACCACATCCACTACCCCAGTCAACATTGACTAATTAACCTTTCGTTTCATCTTATTTTATCTGGTGTATATATATATAATGTACTATAGTCGTTATGCATCCCTTACCTCCCTAGATGTCCTAGGCCACATTGGGTGGTAACCCTCAAGGGGTCATTGTAAGTAGTGTTGTTACGACCTCACTTAACCAGTAACTGGTGTTATGACCCCAGCTAGCCTGAAAAACGAGTCTACCCTGTGAGAGTTATTCAGCAAACCAGACCCAACTGAGAGGTCAAAGGATATATAAACATGTGAGTATATATTAAAT